CAGCGCCACCATTGCTACATTAAAATCCTTATGACAATTTTGATTTTCTACTGCTGGAAATCCAGCTTTCTTACAATCTGTCACAACGAGAAAAGAGATTCCATGATGTTATTGGGTTAATATTTCTGTCATCCTCATAAAATAAGACAGTACGTATCTGGGATAACTACAAAGTTGCAAGGCTTAATTAATTAATCAGCAGTTTATTAATGCCTGAAGCCAATAAGATGGAAACATATGCACCTCAGAGAGTCGTCCGTCTTCAATCCTTGTCTTTGTTTATACAGTGGACGTCGTCATCATATCATATGGCTGGCTTACGAATCGATGAAAATTAATTTTTAGGTTTCTGATTGTAATGTGATTCTTGTTTGCTTTCTCAATTATCTGTTGCTCATGACCAGGTATAATTTAAGGTAACAGCATATATATATATATATATAGTCAACTGAAGGAAGATGCGATAGAATAAGAAAATGCTATAGAATAAAAAAAAAATAAAGAAAAGAAAAGAAGAGAAAATTGAAGGAAGATGCTTTGATCAATCCTATAGATATATAGAATATCAGGTCCCACACTACCACTATCTGTTCATATTCCTAGTTTCACTATTTATATTTAATGGTGGTAAGCTAGGAGGACCTTTATCTTTTGATCAAGGATAGAGTGTAAACCGTGTTTTATCTCTGCTTTCTAGTTCTAGGCTTATTCCAAAATTAATTAGCAGCATGTAATTAACACAATAAGACATTTTGGAATAATAATCTTACACGTCCATAAAGCATGTAGATCTTACAACATCCTCTAATGAGGGCTCCAGACCTCCTACACAGCTACACTATTTTCCTCCATTGAGTCTGTGACAAGTGTCTCTTTACACTTGTATGAGAAACCCATGTGTAAGGGTGGTCGATGGACCAGTTTTCATTTGGATTCATCCAAACCAAAATCAATTTGGACAGGCCAACAAGGCAAATTGAATTGGACCAGTCCAAAATTAATGGTCCAAAGTGTTTATTGGATTTGGATTGGACCTAGTCTATTTGTAATGAATTTATATTGGATTGAGCCAATATCTGGTCCATTGATAGAAGACAAGAATATAGGTATTAATAGACCAGGTTTGGGTTAGAACTAATCTAAACTAAAACAAATTTAAATAGATTGGATCAGATGTTAAATTGGACCAGTCCAAAATATTTATTAGATTGGATTAGACATGATCCATTTGAAATTGACTCACATTGGACTGGATCGGATTGGACTAAATCTAGTTCAATTGACACCCCTACCCAGGTAATGGGACACATGTCATACACTGAATGGAGTATTAAAAGATCCAGAGTAGTAAATTAAATGAGACACAAGTAGTTTGGTTGGTTGGAAATAGAAGGCGAAGGAATCATTGGTATTATCGAGTTAGACAAGGCAAATGTATCATTTAGAGTCCGGATCTGCACTCACAGCATGTATCAACCGCATATTAGGAATATCTAATGGGAGATGTTTGCAATGTAGATGTAGATGTAGATGTGAGGAGCGCTCAGTGAGAGCATATCCCAATTCTATCATTTAGGGTGTGTTGTACCTCTAAGAAATTATATAATTTTCTATCATAAAAGTATATATTGCCAGTTGAATTGTTTAGTTTTCAGTGCTAAAATATTGGGTTCATCTCGACCCATATTACAATACAACAAGAATTAATTCTATGTCAGAAAAGATGCAACTAATAAACTTTGTACCTGGAGTTCAGAAGTTGGTTTATATTGCGACAACGTTTCTGTTACTAATCCCAACTTACCTGTTAAACCCAGAAAAGATGCAGAGAAAAGAAAAGGAAATGCACCATATTTTTCGTCGTACTGTTGTTACAGTTTTCACTGTCATACTGTCATGGTTCAAAGTCTGGATCCATGGGAAATTTTAACAAACAGCTCAAGGTTCCTTATGGGTTACGTTCTATCTCTTTTAGACATGATTCAAGATATCTCTGTAGCTTTTAAAACTGTAAAAAGGTCATACTCGATCATCCAACTTGAGCCTTTTCAGGTCTTTGGGAAATAAGTGTAATATTAAAAGAGGCATAATGAATTATTAGAGATTATTAGTCATATATATATGTATAAAGAAATACACTAAAAAAATTCATTTTTCTTGCATCTTTTGATGCACGCATGATGTTATTGTTTTATAATCTGTATGTGTTAAACTTTTGAAAAGTCAGCTTTGATTTCGGCATGCACCCCAGTTCAGAATTAATTAGGCTCAGTTTGGATGGAGCATAAATACAAATATGTACCTTACAAATACATACAAAATAATATAAAATAGAAGGATTTGCGATTTTGTACTCCTTCCAAATGGAGCATAAAGAAAACCAACCCCGTTTTACTGTAAAAAACATTTAACATTGATTTCAAGATAAGGACAAAAATATAGAGAAGAAAAAACAACTTAACATAGGTTTTGGCCCATTCAAATTAACTTAAGACAATAAAAAATTGCAAACTGTTAAAATGAATGACCAAAAATAATGTAAATGACAGAAGATGCAACCAACATTTAGAGATCTATAGGGATGGAAGTACGAGATAGTTGTTGAGTTGATGGTACTAATAAGATGTGAAAGATACTTTCGTTTTTCTGTTTTAATTTCATTCTTTTTTATACAGAAGTACTCAAAATGATGTTTCCTAAGGAATGTTTTTATATATACTTTAATTATTTAAGAGTCTTTCTTTGATGTATCTATCTATATATACACATACTGTATGAATATGCAAAAAGATGCATTATAATATCTAATAATACAGCAGAAATTAAATTCCTGAAAGATTTGTTGGAGAATATTAGTCATAAATCATGGAATAAATTTTCTTAAATGTTGTTAGATTATAGAAATTATTTATTTTATAAAATATTAGTTTTAAGTAGGTTTTCACAAACAATGCCAAATTGACCAAACCGATCAAATTCACCACTAGTCGGTTTCAGGTTGTGAAGAGGGATAAATCGATAATTCAGTTCTACGAACCAAACCGAACCGAGTTAGTTAATTTCTGATTTTCTAGTCTTTCCCTAACTAGGTAATGCCTATCCTAGTTTCTTCTTTCTAGTTAGTTACTTATTTTTAACATTAAAGAACAATAAAACATTAGTTAAATGGGAATTGTTTTTGTCTTTAGAATTGTTTTTCTTTTTCGAGTAGGAAATTTTACATCAATTTTAGGGCTGTTCACAACCAATGCCAAACCGACCCTTCATGTTTGGGTCGGTTTTTCTTAATGGTAGGTCGATTTCGGTTTCGGTTTGCTTTTTAAACCGACCCAACCCGACCCGTGAACAGCCCTAGTTTTAAGGGGGCTGCTGTATTCATCCACATTGAAATGATAAACTAGAGAAGACAAGCATAAGAAGTAATTAAACCATAGAAAGAAAATGAAAATGAAACAAATTTGATGGTACTCAACAACACAAATGCTACAAGAAAATTTAAAGACCAAATGCCTGATGAAAGGTTCCAAGTCATGCATATTGCTTACAGTTTACAAGCCTATTGCACCTGAAAACCTAAGAAATAAAACTCCTCTAAGTTTATTTATTTGGGTTATAGAAAGAGATATATAGATGGATAGATGCATGTTGAGTTCTGAAAACTGGATGGTTGGATTAGTTAATGAAATCAGAGAGGCTCTAAGTTCTATTACTGAACAATCATCCTGCCGCATTAACAATACCATAACCATTAATTCAAAAGATGCATGAATGAATGCAACGCTTTCCATCAACTCATCCTTTTGTCCTCTTCACTTCATGGTTAAGTGAACTTCTCTGTACGAAATTTCATCCTCTCGATAGCCATGCTATGATGCTTTCGGAGATGGAACCGATCGACTTCCAACACTCAATGTTGTTCCACTTATATAGATACAGATGATGACGATGATGCAAGTGCCACACGCATTCTTGTGATTACATGAAATTTACTTGGAGAAGAAGAAAGGCATCAGATCTTTTCAACTATGCCACAATAAGAAAACATGGTGTTTTGGTATATCCTTTCTGTACTAACAGATAATCATGGTGGTACTAATCCATTCAGAAGAAGAGCAGGAGAATGACAAGGTCTGAATTCTAAAAGAGGAATTAGAAATGGTTCAGGTTCATGTTAGCTTCAGTGGAGACTAAGACTGAAACACTTCAGAAGGAAAACGAAGATCATTAAAAATGCTTCATCGGTCCTTCAGGTTAATTAGAATTTGTGCAAGCAAAATTTGGATGTTCGATCCAAACTCAATGAATACCGTGTCCTCCACAAGAAAACCCTTTTTAAGGTGTCTGTTCCAAGAGAATGATTAGAGATTGGAAACCCAAGACTTTGAACTCTTGATATATATGTTTCATTCATCTAAGATTCAAAGTCTAAAATGTACAGAATGAACAGCACCAGTCATATTAAAGTTCTCATACCCAAGTTCAGAAGAAAAAAAAAAAAAGATTATACAAATTCTTCGTTAGTTCGCCAACTTGGAAAAAATAGGTTGCTACAAGTCTGTTAATTTGCATTTATCATCTCAAACACTAAAAAATGCCAAACGAATTAAACAAAGAAAATATAGAAAAGTTAACTTGGTTTTTAACTAGACTAGAAAAACCAAACAAAATCTTGCTCATGTCATTTCTTTTCTTTTATATGTTTTGTGGTAAACAAAGCTTAATATAGAAAATTCAAAAGGAAAAATTGGATATTGTACATCTATACATGTATATAATATTGATATAAATTTAAAAATATAAATTAGTTTTTTGATATTAATTAAAAAATATGTAAACTATAGTTTCTTTGATATTATATATCTTTATATATGAAAAAAATATAAATAAGTTTATGTTTCCAACATCCGATACCAACTGCCTCATCTTAGTAAGCAGTATTAATTAGGACTATACTGTTAATAGTCTTAAGGGTAATAGTCAGTGATAGTGCAAGTTTCTGGAAGTCCAAATCGTCAAACCCGCCGTTGCTTATGAAGAAGAGAGTTCCATGAAGAATAACAACAACAACATCAATAAGAGGACTTACAGAAGCCAAAAAACCAAAACCAAAACAACAGAAGAAAGAAGAAATTAAAAAAAAAAAGAAGAGATAGACAAGGAAAAGAACTAATTGTACATGGTGATGATGATGGATCCATGAATTAGCTGACCTTTGTGATCTAGAGACGGACTCAATCTCTCCGGTTATGCAGTCGGCCTCTGCCGAGCCGGGCTTTAACTTCGCGGCATGGAGATTACAACAAACCCCACAATGATTTTCCAACCGAGGAAGTACCCACAATCGGGTTGTTAGTAAGGAGGCCGGCCACCTGGATTGCCCGCCCAACCGTCGACGGGCAACTGACAATTCCCCATGTTAAGCGGCAAATTGAAGAATGGAAGGCCTGAAGATGGGTCGGGGAATGGGTTGTTGACACCTCCACCACTAACCCCTGCTCCACCACCAGGAGACTGGGAGACCGGGGGTTGCATCTGAAGTGGCTCCTCTTCGTCCAACGGAAGCCGCTCGTACGCAACATTTGTGAATGAAGCAGCTATAACGATAACCGGCCCGGATGCAATTAACGCACCGACGACGCTCCCTCCGACGACTTGACCCTGTCCTCCCGCCAAATATATCGTCAAGCTCGTAGCACCGGGTGGCGCCGGTGGTGGCAAGAAGGAACCCGATAGTGATAATATCTCGAAACGCCCGTGCAACGTCACGATCGCACCGGCTGCCGCCGGCTGACGCAAGCTGACGTTAGTCACCGTGCCGCTTCCGCTCAAGATGCAGATCCCACGTTGACGCCGGCGAGCGTACGTGGCTACACAGTCGAAGACATCACAGCCGCTCCCAACTTCTAGTATATGGGCCCGAAGCGTGTTGGCACTCTCCCTCGTGATAATTACCGGTGGCTTCGGCTTGTTCTTGGATCCAGGTGGTCGGCCTCTGGGTCGGCGACCAACGATGTCGCCGGGGCCGGCGTTAGCTGCAACAAGCTCAAGTCCTTGGTGACCACTATCGTCATGCTCGCCTGAAAACTGACCCCTGTTGTTGTCATCGTCAGATTCCGGTTGCCTCTGGAGGTGCAATTCCGGCTGGAGTCGATGAACATAGCGAGATGCAGTGCCTAAATCCAAACCCGCCATGCCCTCATCAAAAGGAAAACAGGAACACAAGAAAAAACAAATAAAAAACAAACTTAAAAAAGAAAAAAAAAAAAACTGATTTGGTTTGATTTTTTTTGTGGGTATTAATTAAAGAAAAGAAAAGGAGAACCCCGGAACTCGAAGCCTAGACAGAATAGAAAACAGCAACAAGGATCGAGTGCAGAGGAAGGGAAGACGAGCGGGAGGAGGAAGGAGAGACAAAGAAGCAAACGCTGCCATTCTCTTCACCGAAAAGCTTAAATATAAACATTTTTATATTTTATAAAACACGAGAGAGAGAGAGAGAGAGAGAGAGATTGTCTGTGTTTGTGTTCGTGTTTGGCTTGTGATAACTGATATCATATGAAATAATAAATAGTTTTAAATATAGACCCTTGGATTGGATGAGATGGATGGTTGGGTTAGATGATAGATGAAGCAGTAGGGTTTGGGAGGGTTAAGATAACCATGGTTAAGAGAAGTTGACCATGCTGAGTTAAGCTCTAACGTGAAGGGGAGCCAGACCCAGTTTTACATATTTACAATTGCAGAATGAAGGGCAAGTGGGACTGTGGGAGGTGGTGCTGCGGCGGATGGGGCCCTCTCTTGTCGCCTCATCTCATCCCCTCCCCTTCTATTGTTTCAGCCGCCTTCTCAATCTTATGGGGCTTGTTTGGTTGCACCCATTATTATACCTATTCTTAAATCTTAATCAGAGGTCTTAATTTAATTTGTCTCCAATCAGTTTTCCTTTTCTTTTAAGTCCATCATCTTAGATTATTAGTTAAAACATAAAATCATGTTTTCTTATAGTTAAAACTTTTAAAAATGATCCTTTGGGAGATAATTGGTCATGGGCACAATGACCAATACATATTACATCAAAGGGAGGGAACGTGCCAAAATTCACATCTCTTTAGTTATATTCACATTTATGATAAATGTCCATTTTATCTATTTTATTTATTAATTTAAGGAAACAGGACGCCCAAGAACTCAAATAAGTATTAATTTCTTTAATTATTCAGGTCAAAAAGTACAGTTTTTTTTCTCTGTTATTTTGTAATATACTTGAACCATAGGCTAAGGCTACTAATAAACCCTAATATTTATTAATACATGGCCCATCTAAATTATTCTTGTAATTAAATTACAAATATGCAAAAGAAGTATGTCCCATTAATTACCTGAGATAGTTTATTAGTTAGGAAAGGACGAAAGGTATTCTGTGTTCTCGAGGCAAGCTTTGGAGCTTATAGCGACTTGTGTTTCTTGTCACCTGGGCGGATGATCTGGCAGATTCAGACCATTCATCTGAAAAGGGAACTTAACTCTCTAGAGTAGCTGTATGTCTATTTTTCTTATTCAAGTGTTAGCCCTTTTGCACTTATATTAAACCAAACCGCTTCAGATCAAACCACCCTTAAAATGATACATAGTTCATCTTGCCACGTGGTAAGAATTGCCGGAATACAACTTCTTGTGTGGATTTTTTTGGGCCTATCAAACCAGAGAGGGGGGGAAAGAGAGAGTCACCAGTCTTCTCTCTTCTGATTATTTTATTTTTGCTCTTCCGTAGTCAAGAAACAAAGCTATTAAAAGCAAGGACTAGGGAAGGTGTCGGGTTCGTTAAAGCTCCCAAAAAAGTCATAAAAATGGGACATAAACATACAGTAGATAGAAGTGGTCGAGAGGTCCCCAGTTCAAACTTCAAACACAACCCCCTCTCCTCTCCTCTCTCTTTCTCTCTCTCTTTGCTTTCAAGTTTCAAATCTCAGACTACCTTTCCCTTTGACCACGACCTACCTAATCCCCATATCACAAGTAATCGTATTACATTGAATAAACAAATTCTAATATAAAAAAAAAATAAGAGTTGATAAAAGGCAAGTCTTAACTCATAAACACATCCATAGATCTCCTTTCCTCAGTCTTACCTCCGAAATTCAACATCTGATGTCGAAGTCGACAATTCGAGGAAATTAAGCACTCTTTTGGATGTTGTCAATGCCTCAGACGAGCCTATCCATCTGGCTTCTTCCTTCATGGCCCATTTCCCATGTCTTCTTACTTGGAATTATTTTGATTTGAAGCCTGTGAATCACATGATAGATAAACCATTTATAAAGCCTCCCTCACCCATTCAGACTTGAGAAGTTGAGACATGGGTTTGATCCCTGCCGTACATCAAAGTACTTCTAGCCTGATGTGGTTGGCCCCACCAATCCCACATGCCTGACCGTTTGTTAGCCCATCTATGACTATGAGATAGGCCCATGTAGCTGTACAAGACACACATCTCACAGAGGGAGAGAGGGAGAGTCTGTATTATATAATGGGTATATTCTCAATGCCCAAATATCCACGAGGTAGGAATTATTGAACTTTCTACCAAATTAATAGATGGTTATCTGATGAGGGACCCACTGAAATGATGTGGCAAACTGAGGAGGAGGAGGAGGAGGAGTATACCTTCTAGGCTTCTAAGATGTACATGATCATCAAACCAGCTGTCATTCTCACTTACTCCTTACAAACCAAAAATCAAAAATAAACGTCAAATCCAACCCATTAACTTCAACCCTTCAACTGATGGGCTTTGGGCTCGGGAAGGACCATCTGATCTGATCTGAGAAGAAGAGAAGGGAAGGGAAGGGTCTACTCGGTGCAGTTTCCATCCATCCACCCCCCCCCCCCCCCCTCCCCCCCCCCCCCCCCCCCCCCCCCCCGGCCCCCAGTCCTCCTCTCCCTTCGTAATTCGTTCATGGTACTATAATATTATGCTATGTTCTGAAAAGACCACTCAACTTCTCCATAATTTACGAATTTGTCCCTCCCGAAGGAAAGAACGCACATGTACCGTACCTTAAATCAAATACTATTACATCCCCAATTCTCCTCCGTCTATTCTCCAGGTCTTACGAGGAACTCAAAGTCTTCGGAACAACAGAACCAAGGTAACAAACAAAAACTGTACAACCATGCTGAGGTTATTTCCGTCATTTCAAACGCTAAAATAATAATATAATATAAAATGCAGGAAAGATGAGAACAATCATAAATCAGAGCTTAGATTGGACTATAATTATTATTATAATCATCTCCATGGACTGCTTCAACTGGTGATAAGGACCCCAAGGTGCTGTAGTCCCTCCCTGGCTCCCTGTAGATTTTCTCTTCTTGGGAGTCAACTAGGAGGAGGAGGGTAAGTGGATTTTAGGGTTATTAATATTTGGGATTGCAATCGACAGCACCATGGTCTACAAATTGGACGGTTGGGGTGACGGGATCATAGAGCTGATCCAAGTGGAATTGTGGGGTCACAATGGAAAGAGACGCCAACAGGAGATCAAGTTAAATGACGACAATGACCTCCAAGAGATAGCCAGGGAAGGAGTAGGGAGCGTGCTGCCGCTGACTCTGCCAAGGCAGATTTCCTGATTCATTATTCATCCATCCAAGGAGTCAATGACCCTCTCAGAAGAAACCCACAACCAAACCACCTAACCTAATTCTATGCTTCTGAGACTGGACGAAGTGTTGTTTGGCTTGAAATCCAGGGGCCGTTCTGGGCCTGCTTCTGAACAGTTCTGAATCCAAGGCCGTTCAGACTTCAGAGGGTATTAAGCTTCTTGTCTAATGGCTTTTTAGTTTTAATTCTAGGGTTCTCCCAGAAGCTTTGTATGGGTTCTGAGTTCTGAGTTCTGAGATGTAACAGAAGAGAAGAGAGGGATCACGTGTGGTCTTCAAGTCAAACAGGGAGGAAGGGGAGGGGGGGNCATGAGGCAGCAATCGCTTTCATCGGGAATTGGTCAAACCTGCTTGCCCGGAAAACCCGGGCCAATTGGCCAGTTCCACCGGGCAGCAGGTGCGGTCAGGCGTCCTTTGCTTGGGGCGGAGATAAAGCCTTACCTTGTCTTAACCCTAGGAAAAGCCCCCGAATTTTAGGGCACCACCACCCTCACTGCCCCAGTTGGCCATTGCCCTCTGCAACTCTCTCTCTCTCTCTCAAATCATCTGAATTCTCTGTGATAACTCAACGGTAGTCATAAAAACCAAGTAAAGCCTACGAGGCCACATACCCCCCCATCACCACAGACCAAAACAAACATGGCGGAAAGAAGAGTTATAGCAGAAGACTGTCTCTGTGTTTGCTAATGTGATCTGATTCGTCCTTCAGAAGATCCACCAAAACAAACATATCAGCGTCACAGGTCGCCATCATCTCTCTCTCTCTCTCTGATACCAAGGTGCCCGGACTAGGTGAAGGTGCTGGGCTGCTGGCTGTGGTACAACACAGCAGACACACCCTAGGTCCAGGTTGCTTATTGTTATCGTTACATTCTCTTTAGGCTGTACTGCTGTAGAGGATTAAAAGGGCATTTTCTTTTGGTCTTCAGTATTTCAAAGTGTTCTCTTTTTCATTTTCAGAACATAAGAGCTTTATTTCTTCCATTAAACTAATCTCTCTCTTTCTCTCTCTCTCTCTCTCTCTCTCTCTCAATTTATACCTCGTTTTATCGTCTTCTTATATAACTTCTATGTTTTGTGGCCACAAACATTTTGTAAACTCAGATGCCATCAAAAGAAAATTAAAAACAATGATTAAGAGAAACATGATGTTGTTCCAAACAGTACTGTAGAATGGGTGGTTGATAATAAATTACTAATACGTGGTTTGTATCACATTATATTATATATCCATTAATGAAATTTCTTTTTAAATAATGGTGATTACGACCTTAAGCATCGGGGTTATGTAAATGTGATTTCATATGTTGGAATTGGAACCCATATATAGCGAATAGTGATCTTCCTTCCAATATTGACTGCTTTGAATGATTCAGAGTACTTAGCTCTTTTGGGAACCTATGGACTTGTGCTAATGTGTCGTTTTCTGCTTTATAAAAATTCACAAATCTTCTAATATTGATAATACCACCACCCACCAATCAAACCCTGTTTTTCGGACACTAAAAAAGTAATTAACTTCCTCTAATACACAGTCTTAAGTCCGAGTGCCCCACTCACTGCCTTTTGTCTTCAACAAACACTTATTTTATTATTTTCTCTAATAATCTACCTAATAGACATTGGCCCCCCACGTAAACCCTAGTAGAAAATGTAAGTCTACTTTTTCAGTTTTTTTTTTTATTTTTTAATACCAGCACAACCAACTGTCAGGTCATTAGTCCCTAAGCTTCATTTGAAAAAACAAATCCTCCTTGTTATAGTTAGAACAACAAGAATTGAATCTTTTATCCAATCAATTTAAAAATCTTAACGCCCTTAGTTTAAGAATT